TGAAGAGTGGCAGGAGCCACCTTTCTTCTGATTTTGACAAGCAGGTCTAAGGTCAGACCGTTTGCAAGAAGGAACGGTTAGCAGAGTTTCTAAAGCCTTTTGTACAGTGAACTTTGAATTGGAAAGGCTAACCTCCCGAGCGCCGGCTGTGCAATTGCCGAAAGCGCAATCCAAGGGTCGCTCAGCATAAGGAGCAAAAAGCAGCTCTGGAAACCCAGCCATAAACAGTGGTGTCTGGACGACAGAGACCCGAAGGGTGCAGCCGCCCTTGTTTCAAGCAAACATTGTGAAATGAAGCTACTGCCCTGGGGGGAGTTCAAGGGTTCAGAGGAGGTGGAAACTTTTGCAGGGCAGCCATAGTTTAATGACTGAGCCCACTCTTTGCTTGCTGAAATGCCCAGGTTTAGCTCTCAGGGCCTCCAGCTGAAAGAATCAAGGAGGAGCTGCTCATGAAACCTTTTCAATAGTATTTGCATACCTGTGATGCAGCCCGTGTCCCCTGGGTGACAGCGCTCTCTTCTCATCCTCTGCAGACAGGTAGAATTGACAAATCGTATCCCACAGTGTGCGGCCATACCGGACCAGTGCTGGACATCGACTGGTGTCCCCACAACGATCAAGTGATTGCCAGCGGCTCAGAAGATTGCACGGTGATGGTGAGTGAAGCGCCCAGGGCCACCGAGAGTTGCTTCTCGCTTTGATTGCTAGACGTTGTTCCTTGAACCTTGGTGGTAATGATTTCTAGCCAATAGTCTGAAGGCCCCGCTCAGCGGGTTGTGTATTAATGGATGCTGGAATGCTCAGTAAAAAAAACTGTCATTCGCAAAGGATGTGAAATGGAATTAATGTCATTAGGGGGTCTGGCAAAAGTTAAGCATCTGAGCAGAGAGATGCATTTGCTTCTAATCCAAGCTGTCTGGGGAATCTTGTGCAACACGGGACGACAAAGTTCTGCAGACATGGCTCTTAAGGCATTAATGCTGCCACAAGGACATGCATGCAGAAACCTACTTTCCTCAGAGGGGAAGTGAACAAGATGGGCAGGCCTTGGGCTAATGCAGTCCATTACTGCCTCTGTCTGGCCCTCCTGCAAGTGAGTTGTTGACCAGGAACGTAAGCTATTGGAGCAGTGTTTCTCAACCTTGGCAACTCTAAGATGTGAGGACTTCAATTCCCAGAATTCCCCCCCCCACCATGCCGGGGGGGGGGAGCTTGGGTGTGTAAGTCCCCCCCTCTCTAAATTTTTCAGGGTGGGAGAAAATAG